ACGCACACTTTAACAAGATTTTCGTGGATTTCTTCATCTATAACAAATGCATCTGTCTTGGCTTTTGAGACAATGTTAATACATTAAACCTGCAAAAAAAAAAAAAAAAATCCCAGAACCTGTGTAAAGGGAAACCTGTCTGAGAAGGAAAACTCAAATGTCTTCCACTGAAACAATTACTTCAGCCTAATAAATATTCTCCGAAAGCTGGAATCTTTGAGACATGAACAGAATCAGAAAATCGTTGGCATTGCAACCCAAGTAGCAGGTAGTGCAGATGCAAAAGCCAGAAATCATCCCGAGAAGGACAACAGTCAGCGATGAAGGCTCAGTCTGCCATTTCCTTTAGCGCTGTTACTGTGTGTAAGTGTATTCTGTACATCGCTACTGTTCTCTGAGTACATCTATTTTTTACATTTTTCTCTTTTTTATTCATTTTTTTAAATTTGTGTGTGAATTTTTTCTGGTGAAGAACAACAACCATAAGCTTGGAAGAAAGTAAGAGACACTAATAAATTCCTTTATAGTCATTAAAATCTGGGACAACACACATTTTTCCTCTGTCCTGAGAGGTTTTATTTTCCTCCTTAACTTTAACTTTCAGTTTTTGCTTTCCTGTTTGTAATTTTGATACATATTATTCCAATTTTCAAAATCTAGCCTTCAATTCCCTGAAATTCTTTCCACCAAAATTTCTTGTTTTCCAAAAATAGAGAAGCATTTCCTCATTTCACACATTCAATGTGTGCACAAAAGCAAAAAGATTCTTCTCGTGCTTTTTTTCTTAAAATTTTACTTAAGGGTGCTAACTTTATCATATAATAATGTTGACAGTTTTCATTTTTTCCTTTTTGATTGAGATAGTCACATTTTTGTGATTACAAATTTCTTAATTTTTATAAGAGCTTTTTTCCTTTTTTGTTTTCTTTTTTGAAAAAAAAGCTTATTCCTTCCCAGCCATGGACAAGAGAGTGAAAATTTTATCTTTGAAAGAAAAGTTTAATGTTGCCAAAATGATAACCTAAGAGAACAACACCATAAAGAAGCTGTAATTAAGTTCAAGTGCAGCAAAATGGAAATTTATTCAATTATGAAAGAAAAGGATAAAATAATTGAAAAATATACTCACAGCACCAACATAAATGCCAAGAAAGGAAGGAACTGAAATTATGCAGAAATCAGCAAAGCTGTTGTTGAGTGCTTCTTGAGGCTCCACCAAAAATGTTCCCATTTCAGGATCTATCTTGACAGCAAAGGCAAAGGAAATGACCAAATTTTCAAAGCTGATGGATTTTCAGCATCTAACTGGTGGCTTCAGAGCTTAAAAAAAATAATTAAAAAAATGGAGTTACTTGCAATGTATCTTTTTGGGAGCAAAAGGTGTTTCACATGCAGAATCAGAATGCAATAAATGATATTTATAGTGATGTTTCAGAAAATAGGGTAAGTGCCATGGCTTACGTTGATGTTGACAAAGAAATTGCCACAGAAATGGATGATATAAACCTGCAAGAAATTGTGGACCTGCAATCTAGAGATGATGGTGATGAAGATAATGAAGACCTACCATTAGAAGAGCCTGACCTTTAAGTCAAACAAGTTTTCAGCTGTACAAAGCTTTGAAGACATTTGGAAAAGTTAAAGGAAACCAAGAGTTATTTGATAAAGCTACGGTCTTAGATATTGTTGCAATAATTTCATCAAAAACACAAGACAAATAGTTAACATTCGATGTTTTTATGAAAAAGTGAATTTTACCCATATCCTAGTTTGAATAGTATATGCACATATCTGTACATAATTTGGATAAACATGGAAATTAAAAAAAATGGCTTAAGTTCTGTTCCAGTGTACAAAATAGAAAAGAAACACTTTCTGGGTGTTTATGAGGTTGGTGTTGTTAGGTGCTGTGGAGTCCATTCCGACTCATAGTGACCCCACGAACAACACAACGAAACACTGCCTGCTCCTGTGCCATTCTCACAATTGTTGCTATGTCGGAGACCATTGTTGCAGCCACTGTGTCAATCCATCTCGTTGAAGGTCTTCCTATTTTACTCTGACACTCTCCTTTACCAGGCATGATATACTTCTCCAGGGACTGATCCCTTCTGATCACACATCCAAACTATGTTAGATGAAGTCTTGCCATCCTCATTTCTAAGGAGCATTTTGGCTGTACTTCTTCCAGGAGAGTGATAGAAAAGTGGTAAGACTGCACCCTGTCAAAGGCAGAAATTTTGCGACACCAGGAAAAGCAGGTTTCACTGTATGTGAAGTAAGGTAGGGGTCCTACTTCATATTTTGTACGTGGATATCCAACTATACTACCAACATTTGTTGTTTAAAACGCTGTTCTTTCTCCATTAAATTGTCTCGTCGCCTCATTCAAAATCATATGATCAGAAATGAAAGTGTCTATTTCTAGACTCTCAATTCTCTCTTCTCTTCTCTTCTGTATTCTATTCCACTGGTTTTCACATCTATTCTTTTGTCAGAAGTCAGCTTCATACAGAGTTTTCTTTCTGACTTTCCAATCTGAATACCTTTTATTACTTTTCTTGCCTAATTGTTTTCACTAGAATCCCCAGTATACTGTTGAGTCAAGTGCTGAGAACAGGAATCCTTGTCTTGTTCCTAATCTTCGGGAAACATTCAGACTTTCACCATTAGTGTAATGTTAGCTGCGGGTTTTTGTAAATGTTCTTTTCCTGTTTCTATTTCTAGTTTGCTGAGTGTTTTCATCATGAAAGGATCGTGGATTTTGTCAAATGCCATTCCCTAATTAATTGGGGTGATCATTTGTTTTTTGTCATTTATTCTATTATTTTCAGATGTTAAGCCAACATTGCTTTCTCTGGATAAATCCATCTTGGTCATACTGTATATACTGTGTATGTTGCTTGATTTTGATTGGTTAGTATTTTGTGCAAATACTGCTTTTTATATTCTAAAGAAATGTTGGTCTGTAGTTCACATTTGTGTCCTTAGGGTAAAACTGGCCTCCTAGAATATGATATTATTTCATTTTGGTCTCTTTTTTCCAAAGAGTTTATGAAGGACTGATGAGTAAAACACCTTCCAAAATGTCTGAAATCCAGTGGAGGAAAACACAGACATGGGACAATTATCAAAGGAGGCTGAACATCACCCAGTGAAAATATCAATCTCTGCCAAAAATGGAACTAAGTGGTGATAATGTTGCACTGAACTGGAGTTTGAAGATACCTGTTGGTTCTATTCTCTGAGGAAGTGGAGCAGATACAAAGGTCTGTTGTACTGCAATTCTGTGGTGTGTCACAATGGTGACTTTGTGTGCCAGTTCACAGTTTATTCTCTCTCATCTCCAAATCTATCCTATCCTTTGCCCTGTTTCATAATAATGAAGCTATAGCCTATAAACTTTGCTCCCTTGCCAACTGGCATGATGTTGAGCTCTATCAGTAGAAGCCATTGGGGAGACACTGCAGGAGCAAGGGCTCTTCTTCCTGGATTTGTGATGCTTCTTCTCCTTTTGCTCCTATTGAGGGGTGGGGAGGGGGCTGCCAGCTGGATACTTGCCAGACATCCATGGTATTCAGCTGCTAGCAAGTTTTGTTGCCAGTCCCTGTCATAGTTCCCTGCCCTCTAGCCTCTGCCCACTGGCTTTTTGGTAGGGAAGACTTTCTGCTTGCCAGTCTGGCTGAGATGTCATCCCCACCAATTCCAGTCTCCTGGCTTGGACCTGCTCTGTCCCAGGACAACCCAGTGAACACCGCCGTGGTTCAGTGGCCTCCAGCCACACAGGTCTCTGATTGGTCTGAAACCCACCTATCAGGTTTGTTCGTTATTTGGATATTCTCTTTCAGCACTCAGGTGTTCTTTAGAGTTTTCTTTCATCCTATATTAGTTAACTATCCCCTGCAAAGAGTTCACAATTACTGACATAAACTTTCTCTGGTTTCTGTCTCCTAACTGGGCTCTGACTTACACACCTTCCACTAGGGATGGTTGTGTCCTCATTTTAAACAACTTCAAGGGCCAGGAGAAACCAACTGCTCTGAAAATGTGCATGAATTTATTCACTTTATTGAGGACGTGGAAATAATATTTCTTGATAATATTATGATTTGAAATTTATACATAATTTATTTAAGCAAATAGCAGAAGCTTACTAAATATATAATATGCATCTGTGTATATGAGTAAAATAAGTAGGACACAAAAGGACGAATGCATGGTCCTACTTATATGAAATATCCGGATGAGGCAAATGTAGAAAGACCAAAATTTATAGTTGTTATAAAGGCAGGGGGGAAGGAGAAAGGGGGAGTCATTGCTAGGAGACACTGAGCTTCTGTTAAGGGTGATGGGAAAATGCAGAGACGGATAGTGGGGATGGATACACAACTTGATGAACGTAACTGAGGTCACTACATTGTACATGTGAATATGTTGAAATGACAGATTTCTGATATATACGTATTTTTAAATTAATGTAAATTAAAAATGTAAAATAATTGTACTTAAAAAAGTATGGCTTTTGAAGAAACTAGAAATATGTGTTCATAGATGGGGAGTAGCACTGTACCAAACTTAGGGAAGCTGTCATGCCTGGTGCTTACAAACATATGGTTTTTCTTCAAAGCAGGGTGTAGAATAAGATATGTTAAACATAAAAATAAAACTTGGGCAATTCTGGTCCCTCTTTGGAGACACTGGAAACCTGGAATAGAGAGAATAATATTTTTTTTAAGAACAGGTATATGTATATTTAAATATATATGAAAATAAGATTCATGGAGTTAGCCTTTATAATAATGCATTAATATTGATAATATATAAATTAATAATATAATAAATATTTCATTCTTAAATGATTTATGTAGACTTATAGTTATATTTCTAAATCTGACTATTTCCTGTACTATTTCTCTATGAAGACTTAAATAATTTTAGGTTTATAATTGGTCATATATTGCTTTTTCTCAAGTTATAAAATATAGGAGTTCTCAAAAATCTTACACTTTGGAGGAGAAAGTTGAACTGCCATTAAATCCAATCCATGTTAAAACACTGAAGGAGCTAATGAAATTCTAGGAGAAAACAATTTCAAGAGAAATCAATTATGTGTTATTATACTAATTAAATAATCACTGTAACAAATAAAGTGAATTCTTTATTACTGTAGCATAATAAATAGAAAACCAAACCCATTGCCATGGAGTTGATTCTGACTCATAGAGACCCTATAGGACAGGGTAGAACTGCCCCATAGTGTTTCCAAGGAGCGTCTAGGGAATTTGAACTGCCGACCTTCTGGTTAACAGCCGAGCTCTTAACCACTACGCCACCAGGAACCATGGACTGTATACAGCCCCTCAATTTGCTCTCATAGTGAGCGTTACACACTGGACATGCTATAGACAGTGATTAGTGTGACTGAGTAAAGGGGTCAGATTGACAACAACAATACTTTCAGGGCTCTGGAAATTGAGCAAAGTCAAATAATAATTTGAAAAGGATTTTTTCTTGGAAAGCTGCTAGAGATTGAAGTCAAAATTGCACACATCTGCAGTCTTCTTGCCCAGGCTGCTCCCCTTCTCTTCACCACCCCAGCTCAGTGAGAATAACTGCAGAGTTTACAGCCTGGCGCAGGCTGCAGAAATCAGCAGTGTTACTGCCAGAGCGAGCAGATTTGATTGGAGGTGAGAAGTGAGGATCACAACCCGCAGGTTTTCCAGTATGAAGTACTGAAATATGGCTGGAGATGATTGGGTAAAGGCTGAGTTTGTGGGCCCCATGGGAGTGAGCGGAGTACCAGCCATAAATTTAACAGAAAGATCCTAAAAATAAGGGTCCAATAAAAGGGATAACATTAGTTGTCTATATATTCTTGGCTGATGAATAAATATCACATTTTCAGGGGAAACCCTGGAGTTCCCTTGAGAACTCGCTGCAAAGTTATGAGCACTTCCCAACACACACACACTAACAGACACACACACACACCACATCAGTGACAGAAGGAGGAAGTCCTATAAAGTTGAAGTCTTGGAATAGGACCTCTACTTAAATCATTGGCTAACAACAAAGCTCTGTGGTCACAGAAAAACTCTTAAGAAGCCAGGCTAAAAAATAAAAATAAAACATAACAGAAATTACAGCAGAAAATTGGCAAAGGACTTGGATAGACATTTCATCAAAAAAGAAATACAAATAGACAAGTACATGAAAAGATATTCAAAGTCTTCAGGCATTACAGAAACGCAAAGCAAAACCATAATGTGCTCTCATCTGACACCCCTAAATGGCACTGATTTCAAAAACAAAAAACAGCAGGTGTTGTTGAGGACGTAGAAAAATTGGAAACCTCATCCATTGCTGGAGAGATGGTAAAAAGGTGCAGCCAAAGTGGAAAATAGCTTCCATGGATACTCAAAAATTTAAACATAGAATTACTATCATATCCAGCAATTCCCCTGCGAGGTATATACCCAAAAGAATTGAAAGCAGGAACGCAAACAGATACTTGCACACTGGTGTCCATTGGAGCACTATTCACAATAGATGAAAAACTGGAAACAACCTGAATGTCCATCAACAGATAAATGGATAAACTAAATGTGGTACATACATACAATGGAATATTACTCAACCATAAAGAGAAATTAAGTCTTGAAACATGTTACAATATGGATGAACTTTGAAAACATAATGCTGGGTGAAATCAGTCAGCAAAGGACAAAAATTGTGTGATTACACTGATGTGAAATTTCTAGACGAGACAAGTGTATATAGAGCAAAGCTTATTGTAGGCTATACGTGTAGAGAGGTGGGAGGAAGAGAATGGAAAGGGAGGACACAGTGTTTAGGGGACACAGAGCTTCTGGTTAGGGGGATGAGGAAACTTGGGAATGGATAATGGTGTCGGTTGAACAACACAGTAACTATAACTAACGTCACTGAGTTGCACATGTGAAGAATGTTGAAATGGAAAATGTTTTGTTACAAATAGATTCACCAGAATAAAAAAAAAAAAAAATTGAAAGTGGTTTCATTAGAAAGAATCTAGTGAAAGCCTGACTACAGTAATGACTTAAGCAAGATTGCTGAAAACGAGGTCAATATAGAAACATACATCAGTGTAGTGTGCTCTGTGAGCAGCATCAGAAAAGGAAAGATGAAAGATAACTAGAGCCAAAGTGAATCAAATGGTACAAGACTTCTATCTAATGTACACAACTGTATGGAGAACGTAAACCGAGTATGGAGAAGGTAAAGGAGCCCTGGTGATGCAATGGTGAAGCACTCGGCTACCAACTGAAAGATCAGCAGTTCAAACTCATCAGCGGCTCCACAGAAGACCTGGCAATATGCTCCCGTAAAGATTGCAGCCAAGGATACCCTATGGGGCAGTTCTACTCTGCCCTATAGCATCCCTGTGAGTCAAATCGACTCAATGGCACACAATAACAACACAAGGCATGTTAAGACATAATAGTATAAAGATGTCAATTGTGAACAATTAATCTATTGATTAAATATAATTTCAATAAAGTTTCCTCATGATTGTGTGAAACTGTTTATAAAGGCACTAAAAGGGCCAGTGCAACAGGATATTCTTGAAGAAGACTGTGATGAAATTATTTGTTGTGCCGAGTATCAAGGTTTAACAAAAAGCTTTAGTAAACATTACCATGTGGTTTTGGTGCAAGAGAAAAATGTAAAAATGAAACACAGTCCCAGTGTCCCTAAATTCATCACATTCAGACACAGACACAAACAGGAACCTGATTATGACAAAGGCGGCAGAGAGAAGAATGGAGAAATGGTCATCTTTGCTACATGTTATGCTCCATCAACTGAGTAATGATGTAGACAAGCATGAACTTCGCTTCTCTCTCACTTCATCAATAATACAGCAGCACAAAAAATAAATTCCCAATGAATTGTTGATCTAAATGTAAAAGGTAAAAAAATAAAATGAAGGAGCAAGATATTTCCTACAGATAAATACAAGAGAATATCTTCATGAAACTTGACTAATTTCTGCGTTAGGTCCATAATAAGCACTAACACCTGCAACAATGCTAAATTGGACTATTGTAACATTAATAAAGGTTGTTTGTTAAACGTCTCAAAATATTAAAAGTAAAACTGTAAGTCACTGAGAAAAAAGAAGCTGTTTAAATCTCATAAAAACAAGAAAGAGCTCATATTCAAAATATGTCATCAACTTACTAGAAGGAAAAGACAATCTCATAGGAAAAATGGACAAGAGACAACAGGCACTTCACCAAGAGGGCATCCTAATGCTAACAGCACATAGACAGGTGTTCAGTCCAACAGTAATCTGCAAAATGCATTATTAATATCACAATGATACTGCTATAAAACCATAAAAACTTCAATATTAAAATTCCTCAACGAACTAAGTCTTGATGAGTGCAAGGACCAAGGAATACGTTCAGACACTACTGAATAAAACTGATACATGTAAAAAAACTAGAAAACTATTAAATAATTTTACAAATTTTCACATGCACAGATACCTATGAAATTTAATTCCTACACAAACAGGTAATATGTGGACACATTACATACACAAGGATGTACAGAGAATAATTAATTATATGTAACAGGCAAGTGTCAGAAATAATCCAAATATCCATGCACAGTAAAACGGATTACAAAATATTATATTCACATAAAGTAACAGTGAAAATTAGCAAACTACAGTGAACTGCAACAAGATAGATGAATTACGTCAATGTCTTACATGAGTGAGAGGAAACAGACAAAGGGAAAATGCATACTGTGTGATTTCATTGACATTAAGTGGAAAACAAGGAAAGCTAATCTACAACATTAAAAAAAAATAGTGCTTTAGGGAGGAGAGAGAAGTACTGAGAGCAGACACAAGGAAGTGGCTTCTAGGGGTCTGTAAACGTCTATTTCTTAAACTTATCTGTAAATAAACAACAACAAAAAAAACCCACCAACTTTGTCGCCATAGAGTCGATTCTGACTCATGGCAACCTCGCGTTTCACAGACTAGAACTGAGCTCCACAGGTTTTCCGGGCTGTCTGTAATCTTTTTCTCCTTTTTTAAAATTTTATTGTGTTTTAAGTAAAAGTTTACAGGGCAAATTAGTTTTTCATTCCAAAATGTATACACACCTTGTTTTGTGACATTGGTTGTAGTCCCCACAATGTGTCAGCACTCTCTGTTTCCCTTTAAACCCTGGGTACCCCGTGTTCTTTGTCCGGGTTTCCTATCCCTTCTTGCTTCCTCGTCTTTGCTTTTGGGCAAATGTTGCCCATTTGGTCTCATATACTTGATTAAACCAAGAAACACGTTCCTTACGTGTATTATTGTTTGTTTTACAGGATTACTGCAAGTCGCAACCGGCTCAAAAGCAACGGGTTAATCTTTGGCTGAAGAAGGACTTCGGGAGTGGCTTCAGTTCTGACTTGACAGGGGGTCCTGGCGCCACAGTCTCTGGGGTTCCTCCAGTCTCTGTCAGACCAGTAAATCTGGTCTTTTCTTGTGAATTTGAATTTTGTTCTACATTTTTCTCCTGCTCTGTCCAGAACCCTCTATTGTGATCCCTGTCAGAGCGGTTGGTGGTGGTAGCCGGGCACCATCCAGTTCTTCTGGGCTCAGGCTGGGGGAGGCTGTGGTTCATGTAGAAACAGATTGCTAGGTATGTCTTTCCCGGTGATGGTGAACTGTTGACTTTTTGAAGCTCAGCGGAGTGCTTAAACACCACACCACCAGGGTTCTTTACTCTGAGACAGGGTATTTTTAAATACTTGGGTCATTCACTGTCCAGGAGCCCTGGTGGCACAGTGGTTAAGTGCTTGGCTTAGAATCCAAAGGTCGGCAGATGGAACCCACTAGCCCACTCTGTGGGAGAAATATTGTGGCAATCTGCTTCCATAAAGATTTACAGTCCTGGAAACCAGAGGGGGCAGTTCTAGGGTAACTATGAGCTGGAATCAACTTGATGGCACAGGGTTTTTAGTCACTTTCTGATCAATCTGCACAATTATGTATTTAGTTTTTTTTTTTGACGTATGAAAAAATAAAATAACGAAGTATATTTTAGAAAAAAAGCATTTACAGAAGTATTGTTTTTCATGAGAAGTAGTACTAAAATAAGTAAATGTGGAGTAATAGCCTAATAATATAAATAAAATATTGTAAAATCAAATGGAGTATTAAATAGCCTTGACAATAAATACACTACATCTATGTACTAAAATATGCATGAATCCTACAAACATAATATTAACTGAAATAAACTTCCAATAAAATGTTTGAAACATTTAAAAGTCTTACCTTTTCTTCTTCATGATCTATGTAAAGCAGGTTAGATTTCTTAGAGGCACAGTCCAACCAACTCTCATTCCATGATTTTCTCTCAGTACTAATGTAGTAACAATTGTTGGAATACATAAACCAGGCCTTTGGACAAGGACCACAGTGATCCCCTAAGAAAGATTATGAGTTACTACCAAAATGAATTAACAAATAAATATTAATTGACATATTTTCATAGGTAGGAACAAATATGTACATAACCAAGATACATACCTTCACAAACTGGTACATGTAAAACGAAACACAAAATGCCATATATATATATATGCACAGAAAGTTAGCATCTTGACCCCTAATCTATGTACCCATATAAGGCAAACGAACAAAGACTACATGCTATACATGTCCTGAAAATGCACATGTACTGCCTTTATTTGATTTTGGTGGGTATATATATAATGGTCTATTGATTTTTTAAATATATTTCATCTTATTGTTACACAAGAAGGAAAGCCCTCCTATTCTTTATTTAAGAAAATACATTGCTCAATTTTAGCTTTTAAAATCTATTACTATTTTTGTAAGCCCTAATATAGGGACAAAATATAGTCTGCACTAATATCAGAACTTTATAAATGGTCACATACCTTTCTCAGTTCTTTTTATTGGAGAAGAATTGTTCTGTTCCGGTTTTACACTATCTAAAAAAATTTACAGTAATTCTTAGATTATTATGCTATAAATAAATCGTAATATTTCATTTTCCGATTTGAAATGTGATATGTTTACTATTAGAATAGTGGAATAAAAATAACAAAAACAATAAAGTCATGAAGGTCTTTGGGGAACAATTTAATTACTGGAATTCAATTCTTACACGTGCAGGTAAAAACAAGTGTTTTTTGGGGAAAAACAGCCTAATGAACCAAACTTTACCATCTCTTACAGTATTTGATACAACCACTCTGAAAAATTAACTTCTATTGTTCAATACTTTTGTGCAGATTTCTAAAAAAAAATGGAGAATGTATACATATATTATATAAGTGTATATATATACACACACATATATAAACATTCTACATCATTGTTATTTATATATTTTACAAATTCACAATAATCTTTCCATATTTAGTCCCAATATAAACATTGAGTCCAAATACATACATTACACTGAAAGTTCTCTTCCTTAATATTCTTAATAATTAGAGGCACTTGCAAATCATTAAAGCAAAAAGTTACCTTATTATCTTTCAAAAACTTACAAGGAGTAATAACTGTGATTGTCAAGGTTATTACACCGGCCATCAAGACAAGGCAGAGGAGTCCCAGGATCCCAGCAATGAGCCTCCCAGGAGGTGCTGGAAAATCTGCAGGGAGAAATGGAAATACTGAGAAAGGGAAGACGGAGCAAATGGTTTGGAAGCTTTACATACAAGAGGAACCCTATGCACAGACAATTATATGCATGAACGCAGGGACTGAACCCACGTCCACCTTTGTAATCTTTCTCTACACCACTGCATTTTCAGTAAACATACTGCTCCATGAATTGTAGGTCAGAAAGTACAGATTTCAACAAGGCCTGAATAAAACGAGTCTTCAGATTCCATATTAGAATATCGTATCTCCAATTTGAGTTCTGATCCTCAAAAATGAAAATATGTGAGCCTGTTCCCCAGATCTGACTATCCTTTCTTCTCTCAATTTCTCCTGTTTCCCCACATCTCTGCTCCCAACTGCACAGCCTCGAGCAGTTACACTGAAGGTCCAGTAAATGCTTTACCTTTGCAGTGGGATTTCTTGTCATTTCCTTGAAGATCCTGAGCTGCATTATGAAACTTCAGGTCCACATAGGTTATATGCTGCTCACTGTCTGAAATGGAGCAGCTATTTTTGCTCCTAGGTTTGGTTTGCTGCCTCTTTGGGTGTTCGGCCAGTTTGACTTCTGAGTAGATTACTCTTTGATTACTCATCTCTGCAGCTGAGTGGTGTCACGGACTGTGCTTTAAAGTAACTGTGCTTTAAGGAGTCAGTATGTGGTGCAGACAATGACAAGACGGCTGTGCACACAAACTGGGCTGTGGGGGATGGGAGTAAGGCGAGGATATGTGGTCATTTGCAGTTGACGAGTCTAGTTCTGATCCGGATTTACTTTAGGCTTTCCACAAGGGTCCAGTGTGGAGTAAGTACTTTTTTTTTCAGATATCCTGCATTGGACAAAATATTATTTGCTGGAGTAATGGAAAGCAATAAATTATTGAGGATAAAGAAGTTCATAAATTAAAATATCCTTATTTATTAAAAGTCAGACTCGATCAAAATATCATAATAACATATATTATCTGCGTTAAAATTTAAAATTCTGTATTTGAAAAAAATGATGCATCAATTTTTATGAAAATTTAAAATGTAATAATAATCAAAGACTGAGTACTCCAAAGATTGTTGTTGTTGGTGTTCTGTGCCGTCAGGTCTGTTCTGATAGTGACCCTATAGGACGGAGGAGAACTGCCCCATATGGTTTCCAAGGTGCAGCTGGTGGATTCGAACTGCGGACCTTTTCATTAGCAGCCGAGATCTTAACCACCGCGCCACCAGGACTCCACTCCAAAGACTAGCGGATTGGAAAGTTGGCATATATATTAATTTATTGCTCTAAATTACTTTGGTTCAGTGACATGTATTTACTTAAAGGAGATAAAGGGTTAGCATACATTCTTTTTCTTGCTAATGAATGGGTGGAGAGTTCTGAGAAATCACGAAGAATTTAAGAAAAATGTTTACATGTTGGAACATGTTACATGACACCCTAAATTGATGCACAAGCTGAAAACACTGGAAGCACCACAAAAACAAACAAACATGTTTTCTAAAAAACACTTCTTTATGGAAGTAATTGTCAATTATTTAATGGCTAGAATATGAACTATAAATTGATAAATGAAAATGTAAACCATTTATGTAAGAACACTGTTGATGTCAAATTCCAGAAAAATCCTGTGGTTGTCAAGGCCAATGAGGGTCACTTTAGTTGACTATTTAATTATACTAATTCAGTTCATGTAATCTAATTCAGTCAATGGGCTCCAGAGTCAGTGAAATCTGGAATTAAATTTCAGTTTTTAAACCTACAATGTTTGACCTTCAAAAATTTGCTTAGTTTTTTAAACAAAATAGGAATGATAATATATAAAAATAATGTATGCAATACACTTAACACTCAACCTGGCACTTATAAGCTCTCAATAGCTGTTTGCCTTTTTAATTATTATTTTAGCACAAATGCCATGTTATTGTTTCTGATCTATTTCAGTTAGAAATTGTAAAATAACTCATTAGATAAGATTCTCTTATGTCAGTGTGGTTCATTTTTAAAAATGTTTTCTTAAAGTTTTAAAAACCTTTTG